AATTATGTATTTATTTGAAATTAAAATTACATATTTAATAAAATAATAAAATTACGTAGATAAATTAAAAAATTATTAATAAACTTTTTAATTTATTTTATAAAATGTGATGTATCAGAAGTGATGATACGGCCTATAATACGAAAAAAACAACAAACGAGTTTAAACCAAAGAAAAGATAATTGTAAAGATGATAAATCTAGATCCCTTATAGTGACCACTAATGATAACAACAATATCAATGACTAAATATTTCACCACTTCAATAACAACTATATCTATAACAAATAGCAAAAGTAATACAAAACTCCAATACAATGATGAAATAATTTATTATTCCAATAATGACGACACCAATGACAGAAGTATTTATCACTTCAATAATGATGATACCAACAATGAGCATATTGTACAATAATACTAGAAAAACAAAAAACAATAACGAAAATATTAGAAACAAAACCAAACCAAAGAAAAGAGAAACATATAAATCTAACATTCAAAGAAGCCATACTTTCAGAAATACTCTAAGAATTAGACAAAAGCTCAAAGTAGCTTTAAATTCCTGAAAAAGAAAAGTTAGTAAACATACTCAAAACCAAAATATAACAAAACAACAGACTAAAGTTTATACTCTTAAAATTTACAAAACTGAAATAAACAAAAAACAGAATGAAAAGCTTGAAGTACCTTCAAGCTATGTGATAAATAGTACCAAAAGCAATGAAATTCACCAGTGATTACTCCAACTACTGTGATGACTATTTCAACTTTAGTGACTTCAAGAGCAACAATGTTTATAGCCTGAATAGATGACTTAAAGAAAAAAAATAAAAATAAGATTAAACATATATGTATAAAAAAGTGAAAAAAATAAAAAAAAATTACTATGATTATTGCTTATATATTCCATGACTGAGGCAAATGATTACCGAACTTAAATTGTGATTGGGTAATGATATGTAATATATTTTTAGAGTAATACAAAATATTTCGAATTTATTATAATAATACAAAATTTTAATAAATAAAAATTATTAAATATATTTAAAGAATTCAAATTTAAAATTTTTGAAATATTTCAAAATATTGTGAAATATTATGAAATGAAATATTTGCAAAGTTTATATTAGGCAGTAAATTTTTTTTTTTTTTACTTTAAATCTTTTTTTTATCCTCAACTTATATTGAAATATTTCAAAATATTGCGAAATATTGTGAAGAAATATTTTGCAAGTTTTAAATGATTATTAATAAATTTCTATAGATTTTTTTTATAGTAACTATGATAACTTCAATATGTAAGAATGAATCAATAAATATGCAAACTAGGGGACAAGTTTCTTAATATATACTCGATACTATAGATTCACCGAATATTAACAGCAGGAGGTAGATCAATATCAGTAATATAACAACACAATATTAGGATATCTTGATATCTTACTCTTAGCACTTTGGGTCTAAAAGTAAAATATCAGAATATCTCAATATTTTGCTGTAATGTTGTTGATATCAATCTACTTTTCAATATCTTACCAATATACTGCTAATATTCAGCAGGTATTTGGCATATACTATATAGAATTCATGATATAGAAATTATAATTTTGAAGCAAGCTAAATTTAACTATATATTGAGGTTTTCGGAATAGTAACACAAGTCAAAAAATAATAAATCAGTATAATTACTGATTGTAAAAAATTTTTTAAATTGATACAAATAGGCATACTGATTGCAATCTGATTAT